TGCGATAACCAGTGATTGTTACGACAAAATAGCTTTTCGAATTTTTTCAACTATTTTGCTGATCTGAAGAGAACGCCTACCTGGTCCTGTAGCGAATGATATGACGAACAATAGTACGAATAAGATAGCACCATAGCTGGCCCATTGATGTCCAGCAGCACCTAATGAGAGTGCTATGACTAGAAGGATTGTTGATGCCCACATTCCGGTCAGTCCCATAAGCATCAATGAACGTCGTCCGAACTTTGGATGATCCACCTGTGGCAAATTTCGTATCACCCGCCCAGAGGTTTGAAAAAAATAATTTTTAACATACCAAGTAGACTGAGATGAGTGTCATGATTACGTTGACGGTACCCATACCAATGGTGGCGTAAACGGCTCCTTCAGTGGTAAGTCCAGCTTGTTTGAAGATTACAGTCGAGTAGAACATAGCCACGTTGATACCTGCATAAGGAACATTTCTTTTGGACCTTTCAGAGATTTGCGCTAAGACTGCGTCCAAAGCTGCCCGTGCCAGTGCCGTTCCAGCACATCGATCGATAATCCAGGTTGGTTCTGACACAGTGCTGGCACGCCCGCAACCATGAACGCTGCCTGAAAATCACCGAATCTTTCTTACCAGAGAACTGCTGTGCAAGCATCATCATGATAGCGATTGTCATAGGCCATAAAAGCGATCCACGGAACATGTCCAGCATCGATGGTTTTGATTCACCTGCTGCTGCACTCGCAGCAGCTTCTTCACGGAAAACTTCCATCTCAGCATTTACCTAAAATCAAATCTTTTTCTCTACGATCACGAAAGTTATTCATAACACCCACATCTTCCGATCCTCTCAACTTCTTGAGATCCTTGGCAGCCTTATCCGGTTGACCGCGTACACAAAGAGTATAACGCGGTGATTCCGGAATAAGTGGAAGAGTGATCACTTGAATGACAGATGGCACAACAGTAAATCCAAAGATCAACGGCCATCGAGCCTCTGTGCCGAGAATGTAAGGCAGACCAAGTATCTAAAAAGTTCAAGACTACAAAATTTATAGCAAAGGATGTAAGGCACTGCCAAGTTAAGAGACTAAACTAAATCAAGTGAAAGCGCTTTATAATTTGAATAAAGGTCTTTGAACAGGCTTTCTTCTATGACCATCTAACAACACATTGAAAAATATCATTGTGTGTTCGTACCT